GTGATTATGTGTTGGGCTGTTAAGTGTAAGGTCAGCAGTTCAAAACCACCAACCATGGTTTCAGATTTTCAAGAGAGGGGGAGAAGGAGAATGCCCACTTGGTGGCTGCCATGCAAAGGTATGATGAGGTCCCCCCAGAATGGAAGATATTCCTAACAGAGTGACGTGGAAGAGTGATGGGAAAATCCAAGTGGGGAGAAGGGAGAGGGAGATATGCACTTAGAAAGACAGGAAAGACAGGCACATATCTTTGGTGCAAAGGGGGAGAAGACCTACATCCCATCAGGGGAAAAAATGGCTAACAATACTTTTAAGGACATAAGGGGGAATATGCTCCTAATAAGCCATATTGGTTCTAGTTTCTGTACATCCCCTGGGAACCCAGACAATACACCACAGAACACTGGGACATTGAACCCTGGATCTTCAAGGTGCACAACATGCTCCAAAGGCCATACCTGAGGAATGCCATGTGAAAACCCCACTAGGTGAACTAGGCTCTACCTCAAACATACCTATAATGTGAGTCCTTAAGACTAAAACTACATGATTTGTGAGGAAGCAGAAGACAGCAATAGCAAGAATATTGAACTGTCAGTAGGCAGGTCAATATTTATTTACTACTTCTAGGCCCTACTTGCTGTATTAAGATATGTATTATTCTGGCAGATCTGTGTCTTACATTTGTCAGGAAGAATTTATTCTGTATAAGTGAATAATCCATGTTATGCAATATGTAGTTAGTCTACACTTGTACAATCTCCCTCTCTCAGTAGCATTTTAAAATTAATACCATGGGCTAATCTATGACATTATAAACAAAAGGTCCTTGTACTCTAGGGAGATGATCAATAAGATTCTCCACCATAAATTAACAAGGACCTCTCCAAGGCGAACCAGAGGTAGATAAAAAACATAGATTCAGGAATGGATCTGGGGCTTGCACTTAATCCTAGCTCCAATCTAAGAACAATTAGTTCTTACAACATGACTTTGCTCGATACTCACCCACGTGAAGGAAACACAGAAGATATGGGTGCTACAGAAAAGTGTAGTGAAGAAACTAGATGGTGCTTGGCTATCAGAAAGAATAGCAACTGGGGTCTTAAAGGCTTTTTTTCAAAAGACGTCAACTAAGCCCATATGAAAGAAGCACACCAACATCCATGATCCAAGGATTATAAATCACATCATTATATACAAAAGGAAAGGGTAGTATAAGAGTTTCAATTGTGAGACACTGGTGTGCAGAAGGCTATGGATTACAATGGAAGCCCAAAATACATTTACAAGATCTATACAGGGAATAACCTCTGGTGATTTTCCTCTGACTATAGTTGAGGGATAAGAATAAACTGGTTATCAGACAGAGAGTATTAGAGATGAGTACAGTAGCTTAAAACGATAAATCTGACTTGAATGGTTAAAACCTTGTCACCCGGCCTCCTACTGAAACCCTGTGTGTTTGTTTTTAGTATCTCTGTGGGGTTTTTCATAATGGGCTTTGTCTCTGTTGTATTTTGTCATTATTGTTAGCCTTCGTGGCTCTCTGTTCTGTGTTTTTCTGGTTTTCGGTATATGAAACACTGGACAGGTGAGTCTACAGAGACAGCAGCTAGAACAAGAATTCCCAGGGGTTACTGCCGGGGGAGAGGCAGAAGGGTAAGGGGGAGCCAATAGCACGAAGTTCAAGGAGGAAGAAAATGTTTGTAGTAGTGATTGCACAACATTGCTTAATATGGTTGAACGATGGGTGGTATGATGTCTTTATCAGCTTCTAATAAAATGGTTTGGGAAAACAAACAAAC